AAAAGAGAAAAAAGAAGCAGGAAAAGGAAAAGATAACACGTTCTGTCGCATTAGAAAATTAAAAAAGAAAATTTCACTCTTGCATTACTTTTTCGTTTTATTTTGTTTTTGTTTTTTTTTTCTTTTTTTTTTTATCATCCGTTTTACCTTTAAACATTTTCCACCTTCTTTTTCTTCTCTTTCTTTCGTCCTTTTTTCTTTCTCCTTTCTCAACTTTCCTCATAGATCAGATACAAAGATTGAAAATCGTACTGTTTTAATGAGTTCGATCACTTTAAACAAATGTATGTGTTTAAAAAAATGTGTGTTAAAAAAAACAAAAGAAAAGAAAAAAATAAAAAAGGAAGGAGAAAAGAAAAAGAAAATTATTTATGGAGGGAGATTGTAAAAAAAAAAAAGAAAAAGAAAGAAAAAAGAAAAATAAAAGAAGAAGAAAAGCAGTACATAGAAAATTATTTTCTCCAGAATGAAAGTGAAAAAAAATATAATGGATTGATAGATGCTGATTCAAGGTCACCGATTGATCTTTCGTTCACAGATACCTAAATCTGTATGTATATACTATATATATATACATACACAAATACATATAATGTGTGTATATACACTGTGTGTGTGTGTATGAGTGTAAATGCATTGAATCGAGAAAAGAGAATGTAAAAAAAAAAAAAAAATGAAAAAAATGTATGCGAATCGACGCCATCTTCCTTTCGTTCGAAATCCCGATCTCTTTCGCTCACCATGCTCTTCTTGCTTCAATTTTTCTTCTTTTTCTTTCTTTCTTTTCTCTCTCTCTCTCTCTCTCTCTTTTTTTCTTACCTCGGCGGACGTACGTCGTTGTAAACGACTGACATGAGAGAGACTTTTACTTTCGCGGTCGAGGAAAGGTGCCGGTCGCGTCCGTCGTTGGCTGCACCGGTATTTCAGTCACGAGGAAGGTTTCTAGTCCGGCCATTGCCGGCAGTATCCCCTTTCCTCGACCTCGAGAAGGCTACCGGCCCCACCATTACAGACATAATCTACTCTACTCGTATATTCACTCTAGTATCTACCGCCATCCGGTATAGACTGGACCGTTTATATATGGATATATATATATATATGTATATATTTTTTTTTCCAATTGCATTTTTATTCCTTTTTCCTGTTTTTTCCTCTCTTTCCTGTTTTTTTTTTTTTTCCAATAATCACTTATCAATCATTATTTTATAGTCTAATCGCACGATTTTCATTATTTCATTGTTTATTAATTAATAATGATATAACTTGTTCGTAATATCGTTTGTTAATATAATTAAATAATATAATTTTATTTTCATCGGATACTTCATTTACTTTAATATCATTGTATTAATTATTATCACATATATGATATTTTATTAATTATCCATAAATTATAACAATAATATTGATATATATTCAAGATACATTAGTATTGATATCGTTATATTAGTATTATATATTAATAATATAATTTTAATATTTTAATTGTATTATTGATTAATCAAAATTTTGCAATGTTAACATCGATAAGTTGATATATTAATATTATACCAATTGGTATAATTATGAGTAATTTAATTATAATAATTTAATTAGAATCGTATTATAAGTTCGATGCTTTTTTTCTCTATTTTTCCTTTTTATAATAGTCCGATCATTTCAACCATAACTAATTAAATTGCGTATTCGCTGACATAAAACGACCTTCAAGGTTTTTGAAATTTCTACGAAGATCAACGAATCGATATTATTAAAAGATCTTTATGAAATCATATAATTTTATTGGAGACCATGTACTTTTTTTTTTTTTTTTTTTTCTTTTCTTTTCTATCATACCATCAGAAGAGATATTACTTACTTAATTAAGTAAATTAGAATAATTTGCATATAAAATAATATTCATACCAAGATTTCGATTGATAAGCATGCCTCTCGGATTCGATAGCTGCACGTACTCTCGCTTGTAAATCGCTGTCAACACCGTAAACGTATTCTGCAAAGAAAAAAAAAAAAAAATAAAGAAAAAAAAAAAATAGAAAAGAAATTAATAGATAAAAATTTCAGATATGATCTTGAAATCACGAAAACGAAAAGATGTATAAAGAAAAGAGAATTAAAAAAAAAAAATTTATATGAAATAACAATGTTATGTCTCATTGAAAGGGGGAATAATCGAACTTGAAGTTCAGTTATGAATGAAGTATATTATATACTATATATATATATATATATATATATATATATATACTGATTACATAGCGATACATGATTATATTTACCCGAAATATCGTACTGACGGAACGTAGGTGAAAGTGCCAATCCCACGACGACCATCGTTGTGAGCAAACCCACGCTACTCCTGAAACAATCATTTAATTAAACGCCACCGAACTAACCAATCTCGTGAATGATCTTTTTACGTAATCGAACGACGACGAAATGTCGACGGACATTCAGTGATTTTAAAATCAATTCTTTTTTCATCTCGAAAAAATTCCATTTTTTTTCCTCTTTTATTTCTTCTTTTTCCTTTTAATTTTTTTATTTCTTTTTTTTTTCTTTTCTCTTTTTTTTCCTGTTTTTTCTTTTTCTTTTCAACTTTGCAAAATTGTAAGATAATCTATTAATTAATCAAATGAGAAATAATGATAAAACAAGATATCCGATCAGACAATATTCTATCTATTATCACAACAAATTTCTTCAACGTAAGACAGATCTCAAGCTGAAATAATTAATGCAACAATACATAAACGTATAATATAAAAAGATAATAGAGAATTATCATTGAGATCTTATACGCAATTAAAATTACATAATTAATAATAGGATCGAAAGAGCGTATACGTGAACGAATTTTTTGTGATAGATAAAATCTTTGAAGAGAAAAAAAAAAAAGAGAAAAGAAAAGTAAAGAAAAAAAGAAAGAAAGAAAGAAAAAAATAAATAAATAACAAATAATAAAGAAAAGAAAGGTAAAGAAAAATCCATTTCACGATTCAAGTTGATTTCCATCGACTTCGGGTACGACGATGTGCCATCGTAATCGTTGGCATGCGGCGATATCTTACAAAAGTATTCGCGTATATCTGCGTATACTTTCTCTGTAGGCGAGAGAAAGAGAGAAAGACGGAAAAAGAGAAGGCAAGAAGATGGAGGATCAAAAGTTATAAAGGAAGAGAACGTTCCAAAGGATAAGTTTTATAACGAGAAAGAAAGAAAGAGAAAGAGAAAATAAGTGGGGGAAGATGGTGGTAATGGTGGTGGTGGTGGTTGTAGTAGTGATGATCAAGAGAGAGGGGTAAACTTATACGAAGATTCGATGCGATCGATTTCATTTCTTTTCTCGGCAAATTTCTCAATCGCCATATTTAAATTCCGTAGAGTTTGATCGAAGATACAAAAGAAAGTTTTAGGATCCATTACATATCCTAAATATATAAATAATCATATATATATATATATATATATATAATTATTTATATATATATATGATTATTTATATAATTAGGAGTTAAATATAAATTTTCATAAAAACAATAAAAATTGATAATAATAAATTTCATATAAAAATTTTATGTGTGTATATATATCATAATAATAAATTAATGTTAATAATAATAATAATAATAATAATAATAATAATAATAATAATAATAATAATAATAATAATAATAATAATAAAAATAAATATAAATCTCACATTTGAGAGAAAAAGAGAAAGAAAAAAATAGAGAGAGAGGGGGGGGGGGAGAGATGGAGAGATGGAGAGAGAAATGGAGGTGGAATGGGAGAGATGGAGGGGGGAAATATGAACGACATTTAAACTCAATCGTGTCTAAAGAGACAGAACTCGTGACACTCACGAGCAAACTATGCGAGTTGCAATTCTAAAAGTGCAACGACTATAACTATTCGAACGTGTTAACCACCTCGCGACATTTCTACAAGCTATATTCGAATTTCTATGCCAAAAATATACTTTTAATCTTGTCTATTTGAAAACTGGTCTGTCCACTTCAATGTGAAACTATTTCAAGTATGCAATTAGGGTAACGTAATTTTAAATACTTCCTGATCTCATTCGATTCGGTCATGCTTTTTTTCTTTCATTTCTTTATCTCTTTCTTTTTTCATTGTTTATATAATAATAATTTTTATGCCGTCATAATATTACGCGTCAAATCGTCAAATTGAATTCCCGTTGATTTTCATTTTTTTCTGTTTTCTTTCTTCTTCTTTTTTTTTTCTAAGTATACTAAAACTATATTTAATCGAATCTCTATTAATTCCTTGGGGAGTAAAAAATCGTGACTCAAATGGTTAAAATAAATTCCCTATTAAAAATTAAATAAAGATACCAAAGGAATATAACCAAGATCGAATCCCCCGTTAGATAAATAAAAAAAATGGCATAATAAAATAATATCGATATATATGTATCATACAAATACGATAATGAAACATCGAATAAATAATAATAATAATTATAATAATAATAATAATAATAATAATAATAATAATAATAATAATAATAATAATAATAATAATAATAATAAAGTACATACGATTCAAGTAGATAAAATACCTGTTAATGAAAAACTGTACGTATAAGTATACCCAAAATTCCCAATGTATCGAATCATATGTTCTTGGAAAAAAAATATGAAGAAAGAAAAAATAAATAACTAAAAAGAAATAAAAAAAAAAAAAAAAAAAAAAAAAAGAAAGAAAAGGAAATGCGGAATTAGCATCTAGGATTAATTACTGAAGTTGTAATTAAGGATTCAATTTTAATTTCAATCGAATTAATTTTCTTATCTAACGAACGAAATAATCGTTGTTAATTGAAAAGTAAGTAAACGGAGAAAAAAGGAAAAAGAAGAAAAAGAAAGAAAAGTTAGAGAAATGTAATGGGAAATCTCATGGGAAAGGCAAGAAAATGTAATCGAAGTTTGAGAACCTCTTCTCGAGAAAGACTTCGTCGACTTTCAACG